CAACGAATATTAATGATAAAATCACATAAACTTTTTAAAATATCATTATTAAGAAATTAAAATAATTCTTTTTATAAAAATAAGAGAAATAAATATTAACCTAACAAATATTTACTTTAATATATATTATTTTCATAAAATTTACAAAAAAAATATTTATATTTTCTTGCAGTTATTATTAAATTATAGAAATAAAAGAAAAAAAAAATTTGATGTATCACTTAAAGAAAATGTCTCTAAAATAATTATGTCAAACAAATAAACTAAAGACAAACAATAAGATTCTTAATTTTCGCATATGATAAAATATAGTTTAAAGTTTGCTCAATTTTTTTAATAAATATGGTTTCAATGAATATAATAAAAAAACAACTATAGTGTTTTTTTTTAAAAAATAAATCTCATATTTCAACTAATATCAACAACAAAATCACATAAACATTTTACAATATCATTCATAACAAATTAAAATGATTCTTTTTTGAAACTAAGTTAATCAAGTAACTAACATTTAAAACTCTTTTATTCATCATATTACTAATGATTGACAATATAGACATAAATTTAAAAAGCTTTAAAAAGTTTTATTTGATAATAATTGTAAATAAAATTTAAACTTTATTCGGGAGTAAAAATAAATATATTTCATTAACAAAAATTGAATATCTTAAAAAGAGATAAGTGTCCAAAAGACAAGAGAATCAAAATTTAAAAAATTGTATAAACCACAATTTATATCTTATTAAATAAGTTAATTTTCTAAATTAAATAATGCAATAAGTCCCAATTATAATTCATAATAAATTATTAGTAATATTCATAAATAAATAAATATTGAAAACTGGATAGGTAAAAATATGTTGTCACTCAAAATTAATAGAGGGATAGCTAAAACTCTGCGTGTCTCATAAAGAGTGTGAAAATTCTGAAATTTTCAAAAGAGTGAAACCTTTCATTTGAACTTTTATACAAATCATTTTTAAGTTTCACTCTACCATTCAAGGACACTTGTATATCCTATATAGAGTTTGTATGTTTAAGAAGAAGATCAATCATTTGATTGATATTTGAAGATCAACTCCAAGCACTCCAACAAAATCAGAATTAAGTGGTTTGCTCATTACATCTTATTTTCAGGATTGTTGAACTTAAGATTGTAAGATTGTATTCATTGTTGTCCAAGATTGTTGGAAGCAAGATAGTTGAGTTTGAGAGGATTGTTCTCATTTCAACTTTGTTGTAAAATCTAAGAGGATTGTTCTTGGTGTAATTATTAGAGTCTTGTATAGAAAGACTAGGATAGTCTTGTCTTAGGATCTAACATTATTGAAAAATATCTTTCATGTTGAAAGGAGACTGAAGTATTCTTGGACTGTGAGGAAAACCAGGATATATCGCCGTGTCATTTAGTTTTCGCATTTATCGCTTTCTTCACTTAGTAATCTCTAAGGAAAGTGAAACTTGAAACCTTTTAAAAATCTGGAACATTTTTTAAGTACCTAATTCAACCCCCCTCCTCTCTTAGGTGCATATCTTACTAACACTATTGGCCCCACATGCGCCAACACATCGTTGCTTTTATTATGCATTGTGTGATATGCCAACAAGTTAAAACAACAACCACTACTCCGGTAAGTCTGTTGACGCCGTTGCCAATTCCTACATTAGTTTGGTCTGATATTGCCATGGACTTTATCATGGGACTTTCACCATCAAATGGGTTCACAGTGATCTTAGTGGTAATTGATCGATTGAAGAAATATGTTCATTTCTTTCTAGTCAAGTCATATTTTGATAGCAATAAGGTAGTTAAGGTTTTTATGCAAAACATAGTGAAACTTCATGGGATGCATTCTTCTATCGTATCCGATCATGACAAGGTCTTCGGTAGTACCTTTTGGCGTAATCTCTTTAAACTTCATGGTACAACTGTTGCTATGACTTCAGAATATCACCCACAGTACGATGGTCAATCGGAAGTGCTAAACAAATGTGTTGAGATGTATTTGCATTGTCTGACATTTGACAATCCTGCCAGGTGGTCTAAGGCTTTATCGTGGTCAGAATTTTGGTATAACACCTTGTATCACACTAGTGCAGAAATGACCCCTTATAAAGCTCTTTATGGTCGTAATCCTCCTCAAATGGTGCCAACTAAAGGTACAACAGATGACCATCCAGATCTGCAAACTCAGTTGGCTGAACGCAGAAACCTCTTGTCTCAATTCAAGGTTAATCTACACAAGGCTCAACAAGCTACAAAGTTTCAAGCTGAGAAGAAACGTCGTCATATGGAGTTCAATGTTAATGACCAGGGGCTTGTAAAATACAACCTTATAGACAATCTTCTGTTGTCTTACGCAAACATAAAAAACTAGGCCTGAGGTATTTTGGTCTTTTTCCAATAGTGGAAAAGATAGGAGTTGTGGCTTACCGCTTGGGATTGCCAACTATAGCCAAAAAAATCACCCCATCTTCCATGTCTCGCAATTGAAGTTATTTCATGGGCTTAATATTCTTCCATATATGCCTTTACCTTTGACTACCTCTCAGTTGGGTCCAATTCTTTAACCTGGGGCACTACTTGATTTGCGCATCATCGTGAGAGGCAATACTCAAATTCCTCGAGTGCCGATTCGTTGGGAGGGAATGGATACGACTGATTCCACTTGGGAAGATCAAGAAGAGTTCAAGTTAGTTTATCTCAACTTCAATCTTGCAGACAAAGTTACTTTAATGGGAAAAGTATTGTAAGAGATTCAATCATCGATACGAACCTACAAGATAATGAGTCAGCATCACAAGATGAGGCAGAGGCTAGTAATTCTGTTATGGATCCGAGAAATATGGGAGTAAGACGCAGGAATAGAAAGAGGATTGTGAGTATTAGGCTCAAGAGCTATAAGAATCTCTCCTTTCTTTTTGGACCCTCTCTGGGTACTTCTGTCTCTAAGAAACTTTTTTCCACCTTTATATTTTCATTGTTGTTCCTCAATGGTTATATCCTGGAGTGTAATTTTTGTTTGAATTCCAATTAGTCAATATAATATTATTTTTTCCTTTCTATATTTTAGTCATAACACTTGTTTAGGGTTATTCATGATATAGTTCATAGAGAAAAGTGTACCGAACCGAACCAAACCATGATAAAAATTTACTCGAATTGAACCGAACCGTTTCAATTTACTTAGAACCAACCCGAACCAAAGTCATTGATTTGGCATACCGTTTAGAAATTTCGAACTGTACCGAACCGTTAGAAGACAAATTTTCCAAACCGAACAGTTTATTAAAGAATCGAACCATTAAACTATTTTTCAAAATTTTAAAATAATAAAAATTAAAACTTGTTTTTAGTATTTTTAATTTTCAGTTTCGGTTCAGTTTGGTTTCAGTTTCGGTTCGATTCGATTTCAGTTCGGTACGATTCTAAAACCGTTTCGTGTAATATGGTTTGGTTCACTAACCAAATATAACAGTTCGGTTATTTTAACTTCAGTTCGGTTCAGTTCGCGATTCGATTCATAGATTTTTTGAACAACCTTACAATTATTATCTGAAATTTAGTACCTTCTCCATATATAATAGATAAGAAATAACAAACTCGTTATTTATTAATATTGAATTGCAGAAAGTCTTTTAATACACTTATAATTGAGATCTTTATTATTGTCATAGAAAAAACTTCGCGCACCAGAAAAATTCTAGAATTCTTAAGTGATTGTCCAAGTCGATATGACCGGCCTAAAATTATGTCAATTTAATAATTTTGTTTCTTCGTTTAACAACTGCTATAAAAATTAATGTGTCTTACATGTATTTGTTTATGCCCTTGTTCCTAATTATACATTCAAAAACAATTTTTTTAAAATTATCCAAATAACATAGAAATGAAAAAAATCAACTCTACATTATTATATCCAAACATAAATCAACTTATATTCAACTTAAATTCAAAATTTATTATATTAAACTCAATTATATCAAAATCAATTTTGTTTACTCAAAACCTTGATACACTAATAGATTGATTCAGTTCATAAGAAACTTGACTCATATCCTATAAAGTTTGTCCTATTTCAATGATTTTTGGAATCCAACTCATTTCAGCAAACTTTGATTTTGGCCAAATGCTTGGGATTGGATGAATGAATGATGAATACAACAAGAAAGTTATGGCCTTACTCTTCACAGCTCCACACACTCTTCAACGTCATCTTCAGCAAACACTACCACACATCAAATTAGGATATTTTGCATCTCTCTTCAATTCTCCACGACCACCAGTACCACAACATCACCCTGTCCTAATCCTTAGCCAAAAGACCATATCTATTTTTTTTTCCTTGTAGCCATAATTTATTGCTTGATTTTATTTATTTAATAGTAATCATAAAAAAAGCCAAAAACCATTAATCATTTTAATAATTTATGAACTTGTTCTAAAATAAAGTTCTATTTTGCTTCCAATTTATTTCATGAAGAGCATTAAAACAAGATCCAATCTGAATCTGTCCAAATCTCCCTATTTAATATTTATAACTTTACAATACAAAAGGGTACAAACCTACGAGATTTTAGGGACACCATTTTTCACTTCAAAACACATCATACACTTCCGGAATTTACAAATCAACCCCATCGCCCTCCCACCCTTTCTTCTTTTTAATTTTTTTCTCAATTCTAATTTGATATTAGAACCTAAATTTTACCCTTAAACAACCCATTAATCAACGAGATCTTACATAATAAACTCCCAATCACACTACTCCAAACTTTTTTAATTAACATTTCTGCCCCGAGTTTTTTTCCATTTTCAATTCAACCCTTCCGTTTAAAAAAATCACAGTTGAGTTAGAATTTTAAAAATGGAATAGGGACGTAACGGGTAATAAGAAGATTCTAGATTAAAGTAAGAGAGAGACAAAAAAGGAAGAGAGGATGAAAAGTCGACGTGGCTATGGATATGACCCGAAACCCGGAAATGACCCGTTTCAGATTCATGCAATACGGAGGAGACGTCTCAGATCCCACGTTGCGGAGTCGTCGACGCCCACCGGCGAAAACTTCCTCTGAAAAGACGGAATTGGAAGAGCGCTCGGCGACGGAGACATAGAGAACGCGGATCCGGCGTAAACTTCGCAACCTGTCTTGAAATCAACGATCCGGATCTGTTTAGGAACCATATTCGGATCGGGTCCGAGTCTCTGTGTTCCGATGACAACCAAACCGTCACCTTCCTTCTTCAAACCCTCGTTGTTCATTTTCGAATCAAACGATTCGCCTCTCCTGAGAATCATCACCTTCTCCATAACCAATTCACCACCTTTCGCCATCTTCAAATCATCGTAGCTGGGTCTTCTCTCCGTCGCTGCCTTCAAATCGTCGTAACTAGGTCTTCTCTCCGTCGTCACCTTCAAATCATCGTAACTAGGTCTTCTCTCCGGCACCGCAACCCGTTTTCTCTGCTCCGGTCGATTAACCGGTCTCCGGTTAATGTTAATCCTCCCGGAGTTTGTTACCCCATAAAAACTATTACCATAATTGTTATATTGATTATGGCAATTTCCGTAAGTTCTTCGCCGAGAAAAACTCGCCGAAGGAACTCTGATTCGTTCATGTAAACAATCCTGTGGTAGCAAAATTTCCGTTCCCATGGTGAATGGTAAAAAAAATTTAAAAATTTGAGAGGAAATGAAGAAGAAGAAAAAAGATATGAGCGTTTAGATCTGAATAATTAATCAAAACTACAAACTTGCGTGGTTTTGTTATTATTGTGATGCAATAATTATATTATATTTTTCTCTGTTTTGTTTCTTCTTCTTCCTCTGAGAAGACAAGGAAGAGAAGAAGGGGGTGTTGATAGAAAAACTAGGAAGAAAGAATAGAAATGAAGAAAAGATGAATTGAGGGAAATGGTTTGGTTATGGAAGGAGATATATAGTAAAAGAGGAAGGAGACAAAGGTGGGGTTGGTATGGTAATGGTATTTTTTCCTACCGACTTTCGTGAGGAGAGAGAAAAACAAGAGAGAGAAAGAAAGAAAAGTTTTTGAGTTTTAATAGAAGACCGATGGTGTGTTGGGGTTAATTGTCTTTTTCAATACCTTCTTTTTAGGAAATTATTGTAAGTTTGATTGGGGTCCACTTGATGTTGTTGTTGTTGGCCAATTGCTATTATTTTAGCAATTTTGAAGTTTTTTATTTTTTTATAATTTGGTAAAGAAAACTAAAAATGGTTGGAGAAAGATTGGTACTAGGTTGTTGCTGGCTTGATTATTGCTAATTTGCTACTACTTGCAACTTGCAATTTGCAATTTGCAATTTGCAATATGACTCTCTCTCTCTACTACTTCAGTCAAAGTTAACAATGGTGTTCGTCTGAGTGTTGTTGCTTCTATCTGTATCGTGAATTCCTGAATTGTGTTCTTTCTTGGGTGAGGATTAAGTGTATAGTGAGGGTATCATAGCATGTGACATGAATTATTGTTGCAAATTTTGTGAGTTCTTGAGCAACGACGTGTTGCAAATTTTGTGTGAGTTCTTGAGCCTGCGTAGTTGCGTCTTGTTGTTGTTGTGTGAGTAGTGGATTGTTCTTACCTGCGTCGTTGCTTCTTCAGTCAGTTTCTCAGAGGGTGACGATTGAAGAAGGAGGTGAAAACATGGTTGAATATGAGAGTGAGTTTGGAGAAATGGTGAAGTGAAATGATTGGTGATGATGAAAAAATGATTGAGAGGTTCCATTGTGAAGAGGTGAAATCATATAGAGTTGAGGTTTAGATAGGTTTTGGATTGGGATCAGGTTTGGAATCAGTTAGGGAGGTTAGTTAGGCTAGTTTGAATTTTGTTATTGTCTGTTATAGTTAGTTGGAATATGGTTAAATTGCAACTATTTTGAAATTTAGTTATGAGATGAGCTGGCATTCTGTAGGATGGAGTTTGTTCTGAATTCTGTTATGAAATTTTCTTTGTGAGTTGGCAACTATAATAGCTTTATGTTAAGTAGTGTGATGGTTTTTGCTGTTAGTTAACTATTATATGCAAGCCTTGTTCTGAACGAAATTGGGTTATGTTTGAATCGATTAATACTTGAACGGTTTCTATGATTTTTGTAGTGGACTATTATGTTAGCTATGCGTGCAGTTAGTAATGATTTTGAATTTCGGTTGTGAGTTTTTGAAAGTCAGTTATGAGCTTCTAAGTGTGAATCTTTTATTGTCATGATGAAAGTGATATGAAGTTAGTTAGAGCAAAATGTTGTTAGTAGTTACTGTTGAGCTAGAATAGTATTATACAATTTGTTCATGTAAAAAATGAAATAATGTATGAGCTTTGGAGATCAAATTGGAATCATTTTGTGCTGCTGACTTCTTTTTGTGTTTCTCTTATGAATTAATTTGGACATAAATTTGTCATAAGTTTGAAATGTAACTTCACGTGGGAATAGGAAATGCGTGTGGAAACTTGAAATTATGAATTAACATGCTATAATGAACCTTGTTGAATGAGATGCAATGTTGTTGTGGTAAATGATGTGTATTCTTGTCGTGAATCCGAAAATGTTGGGATTAACTTATGCCCTAAGTTAGAATGTGAATGTTATCAAATTTTGAGCTGGATTTTATTTTGGTTATGAGTTTACTTGAATGCAATGAATTTGGTTTTGAAATTCTGTTGGCTTTTTTGCAGGATTGTTGCTTAACATGGAGACTTGATCATCCAAGATCATCCTCAAGGCTCTTCGGAGACTTATTCGCCTATGAAAAAAAATTGGCTGAGAATGAACCTCTAGGGAAAGTTCGGTGATATCCAATGAGTCATTTGGTGTTGTTATTAATACATGAAAGCCTGTTGCTAGTTGGACATAACTTCCATTTGAACTGAAAGTGGAGCAACCATTCTACTAGAGGTGAAAAACGGAACGTGCATTGCAAGTTGCATCATGCCTCTGGCCGGTGCTTGCTCCTATGCATCATAGCTAACATTTTGATTATTTCTTATGAGTGCGTCATCGTATAGGTTGTCTAGTGTAAGTAGGCCCAAACCTCCAGCCAATTTGCTAGCTGTTGTATCACTCTCATTCAAACTAGGAGCTGTAACAAGTGGCAATTCCCACACAGTGGTTCCATTTCTGTGATTTAGGCTAGCTGAAGGTCATCAATACTATTTTGGCTTTCCAAAATACCAGTTGGAGTGGGGCATCATCAACAAAATAATAGAATATTCACCACATCAGTGACTGAAATTATAACTTAATACAAAAAGTCCAGCTTATCAACACGAGACAAGAGAGGCTCACAAAATACACAAACCCTAAAACTCACTAATATTTTTCCTCACTTTGATTAGGTTAAATCCATCCTATTTATAACCATAAACTATATTGGATTTAGGCTTCAAAAACGCAGCAATTCTGTTACACAGTACCTGCAACTTATTATCCAAAAAAATAGTTTTTTCAATCCAGAGTTTCCTAAAACGTCTTTACACTTAAAAAAATGGAATCTTCAAACTCAAACAGAATCACAGACTCCTCAATCTTGAACGCCACCTAGGATAAACAAATATTCCTACAATATTATGAAATTTGGAAATAAATTAGCAGTATCAAAACTGCAAAGTAACAGACAAAGATGTCGAATCATCATGATAGGACATCTTTCCCAACTTCTTGTTCTTCATGTTAGGACATCTTGTCCAACATCTTGATGCCAAGTTAGTTTTACAAAAATTAATGTAAATCTCAAAAGTTTGGACTTATCACATACTTCAATAAAATTGCATCAAAACTGACTCCTAAAATGATTTGCTTACCATTCGTGTTGGTATCAATGTGACATTTTAATCAGTGATTCGTTAACTATATATTGCACCATCATTTCAGTGAACTGATTTGAATTTCAAAAATGTCATATGCATTACATTAAAGTTATCATTTTAAAAAAATGAACAGTTTTACTTGCGAAACAAACACTTATTTCGAGAAGGTTTCCACAATGGAAAGATTCATCACACCTAAGGAGAAAAACTCCTTAGGACTCCGTTGAGCAAGGGCAAGTCATTTCAAATGATCACACGAAAAGTGCAAACGCCGGAAGAAGAACTCTGTTGAGTAGAAGGGCATGCCATTCCAGGATTCAATCAATCTGGGGCAATCATGTCGAGATTAAATCAATCTCTCCAAAATCAACCATACTCAGTCAATCTATGGAATTTCCATCAAAGGCTCAGGTAGGGCCAGATCACTTCATCCAAACACTGGGGAAAACCATCTCAGACCTTGTCATGGTATAATCACTCCCAAGGTTTCCTTTAAAGGAAAATTCTTTTGAATACCCTACAATTAAGGCAGACAAGTGGCAATAAGGCAGATCCACTCCGTGCTTTTAAGAAAGGCAAGTAGACTGTGCCATACGCCAATAACTGTTGAGTTCATGAAAAATGTCAAAAGATCACGCTAATACAACATCATATCTTGGTAAGAAGTCTTGGGGAAGAATAAAAGCACAATCATCATTAATCATATCGCTACGCTCATGAAATTATTTGCAAGCCATCACGGCATGTCAGGCAAAAGAAGTTGGAATTCTCAGAAACAAGTGTGCGTCTCTAGCAAAAGATCAAAACTTAAGGCCCTAAGAGAATCGACATCCATCCTTCGATCGTGGCGTCGTCTAATGCTGAGTGTCGGGAAGTCAAATCGTTTCACCAACCTAAAAGTCTAATCCATATTGGCAACTACCTAAAAGCCAGAGTTTATTCCCTCTTGAATCAAAGCCCAAACATACTTGGTAGTGTCGTCACCTATGAATCACATACCCCCATCTCCCTATCAACCCGGGTATACATCGGCATTTTGCATACATAGCTTGCATACATTATGCATTATTACATGCACGCTTAGCCAGTCGTTCTCGAAGACGAGAAATTCCTACGGACATCCAGTAAGTATTCTTTCAGGGTATTTATCCATTCACTTGCCTTTTGTAAGTTTTTCCATGCCTTTTTCACAAGTGTGACTAGTCACTTACCATTTTCAACTTCTTTCGTGCCTTTTGCACAAGGTCTCCTCAACTTACCTTTTGTAAGTATTTTCGTGTCTTTTTCTCGAAGTATCTCCTCCCTGCCTTTTGAATAGGAGTCAGCTTACCTTTTGTAAAGGATTTTGTTTCCTTTTGCATGAAAACGTATCTCTTAGCTCTCCTTTCAAAAGCGTTCTCGCTGCCTTTTGCGCATGAAAGAATTTTGCATTGGATACAAATATGGGACTGGATGAATAATCCACTCCCCTTTCGATCAATTTGGATGCTTGACGCATGTGTGGCCAAGTGCTGAATGATTGCCATACCCCGAGAATGTCATCTCCGACGTTGTGCCTATGAGATCAAATCATGTTCTAATACCCTATGCAATTTACCTCTTCCTTTTGCATGAGGATGGTTATTGCCCTTAACTTACCTTTTGTAAGTCTTTCTCTGCCTTTTGCATGAGGATGTTTATTGCTCCCGACTTACCTTTTGTAAGTCCTTTCGTGCCTTTTGCATGGGATATCTCTTCACTTACCTTTTGTAAGTGATTTCACTGCCTTTTGTGTGAAATATTATCCCTTTGCTTGCCTTTTGTAAGCGCTCTCGCTGCCTTTTGCACGAGAAAGAGATT